AGTATATCCGACACAGAAGCAACATGCAGCTCCCAGGAAGGAACATTTTTGTTGAGTGTTTTTTATCCCTACCCAAACTCGAATCTGAAATTTCACAGTGGTTGAACTCCGAGCTGATAAATAATGGATCTTAGCGCTCTGGTCAACATAGGATGCCACTGGATGCATTGTCCCTGGACTCTATTTTTTTTATGGATGTAAATTCCCCATTATTGAGCTTGTACGAACTGTCCGGGCTCTTATAACATTCTGTTTCTATATCAGATGATTCCGATAAGTCAGAGATCTATTGCACATACATTTTCATCTCTGAATCTGGAAAGTGATCATTTGATATGAGCAATGTGTTCTGATAGCTCATGGATTTCGGGCATATTTCAATACGGAGTAAGAAGGTCCGGTTATGATGTTGCTAAGATTCAGGATTGAGGGGGCACAAAGGAAATAACTGGACGCAAAGGACACAGAAAGGCCTTGGTTGAAGTCCAACATTCTGATATACTTCACCACGAGTTCATGTACATTTACTATTATATCCGGGCAAACGAGAAATAGCATGTCATAACAGCATATACCTTCTGGAAGAAATGAAAAATAAAGTTCGTGTGGAGGATATTCAGGGCATTCAAATTATATCTTACAAACTCTTTCCATCGCATGAGTCAGAACCGACTTAATCTGTCTAAAACTCACTTGCAACAGACAAGCCCAAATTCTGCGAGAAAAGTATGCACAATAATTCTTGTTATAGTTTGGGTCAGTTTATACAACTATTGGTCATTTGTTGTTGTCAGAAATATTTGAAAAAAATAATCTTACCATGTTGAAGGAAAGAAATTTTCAAGTCCCCCAGGACCTGCAATGAAGTCCATATAGTCTCTAGTCTTACAAGGTACAAAAGAACCAAGGATTGGAGTGCCGGACAAATCAAATGGCATTTAATCAAAGTTTTGCAAAATTTGGAGTCAAATCCGACTGATCATATCCTTCTGAAGAGACTCGAGTTGGAGTTTGGCTTGTTGTAACGATGCTATATGGAATTGCTCTATCGTGGTTTTCGTCACTCGTAGAACAAACTCTCAGTTTCTCCAAGATTTTTAGGTTATTTTTGAAGATTTCACCAATGTTTTTGGTGAACTTACAAAGAAAGATTGGTTCTTTGCATCTTCAATTGTTTCTGCAAATTTTTCACAACTTGTTTGTGAAGTGTACTTGGACCCCAAGGTACTTATGATAGCCTTTTGTTATGGATTATGATATGACCTCAAGGAGTTGCTATTAAATCTTTTCGATCCAACCATGTTGTTTGAGGCTATAAGACAAACGATACGTCACAATTGGCTTCTTGAGCGTAAGAAACAACGTTAATCATCATCATCATCACGACCGTATTGAATCGATGCGGCGACATCAATGTCTCAGAATAACACATCAATGTCCAAACCTGTGAAAATCGATGCTTCCAAGATTCTGAAACTTTCTCAAGATGAGAAAGATTGTGGAAAAAAAGAAGATTTGCGCCCATATTGTGATAGAGAAGGCTACATAGCTCACAAGAATATCTGAAATTCAAAACTTCAAAAATTTTGGTACATCTTAGGCACTTGTGAGGAGATGAAAGAAGCTGAAGAACTGGAAAACGACTATGCCCAATCACAAAACAGACCATCCGGCTAGCAAGCATACGCAGTCTACAGATCTTGTGCTTTCTTTTAAACCTTCTCCTTAGTTTTTAATACCTGTCTTGTTCAAATTCGAGTTGTATAGTGTGAAATTCAAAGCTTGTTAGACTTCAAAGCCTCAACATGTTTAATTGACAAAGATTTTGCGAAAAAATATAACCTGCCCTTAGAAAATCCTTGATTCATGTAAAAGTTATCGATGATAAATATCTTGGATCTGATGGCATGATCCAAGAAACCACACCTCTAGATATTGTGAAAAAAAATCATTTCAATACTATAGTTCTCAATGGCATCCAATTTTTGACCAACCCAATCTTGGTTCAATAAATACCATCTGAATAATGACTAGGACATTTCCAAATTATCCATTTGAATAGAGATGTTTCCGACTATCAATATAAAAGTCCTAGAATCTAGATTTTCTTTCAATAAAAACATCAAAATCTCAAATCCTCATATTTTTTGTCACTAGAGCATTCATGAGAGCTCCAAAGACGAAAAATATAGTTGCTTCCTATAATTGCAGACGGCAACTTTAAGATAAAAAAAAAATTCTACTTCTGAGCAAATATCTCAAATATAGATCAAAGTTGACTCGAAGTGAAATATTAAAAATATTATTGATAAATGAAAGATGTGTTGACGAGAGCAAGAAACAATATAAGGAGACTCTTTATATATATGCGGTTTCAATGAATAGTGATCTAATAAGTCTCACTTGTGTTTTTTTGGTTGATTATCTATGTGTTCGAAGATGTATACAAGCCAAACTTGATTGATTAAGTTTTGTACGATCAATCAATCAAGTTCATGATCGATCAAGTTAATACCGCATTAAACTTTTCTAGCAAGTTTATTTGAGGTTCTTTTGGCACTTGTGGAATCAAACTTGCTGTGGAATGTGAAACGTGAGAAACTGAAGTTATTTCATGACATTTGTAGGTTGGCATTGTTTTGTTGTATTTCTTGGAGCATGACAATCAGTTCATGCATCTAGATGTTGGAAAAATCACACATCTTCAATTCAATACGTTTGGAGGTTTGCAAGTAAATGAAGTAGCAAATCTTTACAACAAGAAAATGAAGACGTCAAACTTCTGAACAAGTAGTGATATTCTCGTGAAAATACTGCAGGGAGTGATTCTATAATAGATAAAAAAATATATATTTAGAGTATACCTTGAAGTAAAATCAAAATAGTTAAAAAATGAGAACATTGCTCACACAAGACTTAGAATAATGCTTGAAGTGAAAAAACTGAAAATAGTACTGTTAACTAGAAGAGTAGACTGAGAAGTAAATAAAAACTGTAAACTGAAAGTGAAAGACAATTTCCTGGGATAGTATACATATATTACTTGGATACTATTTAAAAACTCCAAAGTTAGAAAAAGACACCGCCTTCAAGTGTAAAAAAAGTCACTACCATAACTACTAGTCCAAAGTTGAAAACATGCAACGTCTCCAAAGTTGCAAAGAGCTAACGCCACCATTACAGTATGTCACATCCCTGATATCATACACTCCTCATTCAAGCAACGAATTTCAAGAATTGTTTTACTTATGTTATAAAAACAAAAGAATTGTTCTACTTATATTATAGAAAAAAAAAATGAACTACAAGAAGTTCATGTGATAATCACATGATTACAAGCTGATTTGGTGCTAGTATTGATACAATCGTGTTCGATTCAAATATCTTTGGCACTTTGTTTCACTAGATATTGACGATGATATTTTGGATCATTTTGGAAACGTTAGTAAGATTAGCAACAGTTTCCAAGTTCTCACCGTACAAGATGTTGAAGTATTCTTTGATTGATGTGAGAGTGAAAGATACTAGAAATTTCAAATTCTTCTTTACTATTAATCTTGATTGGTGCAAAGATGCTACTAATTGTTTGAGAATAGTCAATTTTTTTTATATAGCTGAAGTAAGTAAACATGAGATATTGGATCCATTTTCATAGATTATGTCATGTTCAACTTGAATGCTACTTTGTTAACATGTTTAGCCACACATCTATGACTATGATATTTAAGTTTGTTATTTGGTAAACTCGTCTTCAAATTGCAACGCAAAAGCCAAACTTTATCTTCAATAGAGATTTTCAGATTTCTCTTTTGAAATTTTTTGCGATTCTCTTCTACACCTATTGAGTATTTACAATCCTTGACTTCATGTCTTGGTGAAAACTGTGTAATGAATTCAATTTATCGCACACCAGTCCTAAAACAAATGATCAGCTACAAAGGTGAAAAATTATCAGTTACTAAGGTTGCCCCAAAACGTTATTCACATGTAGTTTTTAAAATAATAAAACTTTAAAAAATAAAATTTACTTGTTTGAATTAATTATAGATTTGAAATTCGATGATAGTATTAGAAGTAGCGCGAGGGAGGAGTAATTAACGGAGAGTGTAGAGTTAGTTCGTTCGACTAGACTGGCCGAAGGAAGGAATGATGTCCATAGTCATTGTTCACCATCATTCGAAGGTAACCGGGCCTTAGACATTGAGGAACCTTTTCATCGGACTACTGTGGAGTGATTTGAACTTCGAGTGGCAAGAGGATAGGGAAACAGAAGACGAAGAAGAAACTGAAGGGAGAAAAGAAGGGGAAAAAAGAGAGATGAGGGGCAGGCTACTGTCGTTCGCTCAAAGCTGAGCGTCAATTCTTTCGAGAGACGGTGTGCTTTTCTTTTTGCGGCTGGTTGTTGTTTGTGTGGATTTGTTCCTCGGAGACAGAATTCTGTAAGGGGAAGTAGCGGAGGAAGCTCAAGCTTGCAGCCCGGCCGTATGTGAAATCGAAGAGAGAGCGTTAGAGGAGGACGCGCGGACTGGGAGCGTGCGGGAGACGATGACGCTCGAATTCGTGCACGTTTGAGGGCGATTTGATTCGAAATTCAACTGTCATGAAGGCCGCGGCACGAGGCCAGGGGCCGAAGTGGAAGAGGCGCGGGGCTCGATCGGGGAGGGCCTTCTGGTCCTTCTGGCATTTGGAAGGAGCAGCAGCAGGACGAGGAGGACGAGGCCCCCAGGCATGAGATGAGGTTGCGGAAGCGATGTACAATCGGGATGCGCGCAGTGGTGCTCTAGCTGGAATCGGGCAATCGTAACTATCAAGAGTACCGCCGCAAGCAACAATTGCCGTTTCGAAAGATTGTGACCAGATCTGTGCAAATTCTCAAGAGAAGGATTCTCCCAGGAAAGAGCAGAAGAGGAGAATATTGTTGACGAAGAGTTAACTGAGGTACCTGCCCGCGACTTGGGTGAGGAAATTTTGAGAGAGGCGAGACTCATCATGCGGTCGAACAGGGCAGGTCGAGCTAGAGGCGGAGAGTTTGGATAATTCTAGTGAAAGCAGTGATGGAGTAGAAAGCGAGGGCATGAGTGAAGGGGGTGGACCGGACGGAGAGGATAGTGAAAGACGAAATCAGTGGATCTACAGGATTGCTAGGGGAAAGGCAAGACACCGTGAGAATAATGATAAGGCAGCGGCCGACGGTAAAGGCAAGGGACCACTCCGTGATAGGAAGAGAGCCACCGGTCGAAGAGCTGGGAAGGATAAAGATGACAGTGACAGTGAGGAAGAACTTGTTTTTGATGGTATGGAGGAGGAAATTCCCAGACAGAACTTGCTGAATTCCGCACTAAGAACGACTTACACTGCAAGGCCAACTCTTGTAATCGATCATTCAATTGCAGGAGATAAAATCGTGCATACTGGATCGTCATCGTCCTTATATAAGTTCAGTTCATTGCCCAGGAAGACAGCAGAAGATATCACATACCGGGCGAAAGTTCCAGGGGTATCTTTATCTTTAATCTTCTGCTTGAGTTCTGGAGACTGTCTGCGGTTTCCGAGAGAAATCTCGGACATCGCAGACAGCCTCCAGAACTCAAGCAGCAGGATTGAAATCAACACCGTAGTGACGTCAAAAGACAGCATAAGCGAAACTCCTGGTGCAGATGTGGAATGACTGACTGCCCGATCATATCCGCCCCTAGACCCGAAGCGCTTCGAGCTAGCTAACTACTATGCACCCGACTTCCCCGATAAGGTATCGTGGAAGTCCACAAATTACAAAGAACTACGTAGTATGAAACACAGAAGTCGATCGACCGACCTACCTTGGCAAATGCGAAGTCCAGGTACTGTTCGTGCAATTTATCAATGGATCTGCACGACGTAGCGTACTTTTGCTGCTGCCTGTGGTGGACCCTGACCATGAGAAACAATAAGAAACAATAATTGGTATCGGTCTTCGGAGCGTGTGCAGACTCTGGGCCAGCATGTGCCTGTAATAACCCACCAAAGGCTAAAACTGCAGTATGGTGGTAAAAAGATCGAACCCACAGTAAAAGTGTCACGTTTAACAGACTTTTGTAGAGTTTGAATTCTAGGCGACTGTCACTCCCAGAAATACTGCAGTGCTCGACTCGGAGGCTCGACTCGGAGGAGGATCTCAACTCGGAGGATGCTCGGAGGATGCACGGTACAGCGTGGTCACTTAACACACACACACACACACCTGAAACTGGCAAAAAGCACAACTCGGAGGTCGGTCAGGACCTCCGCTTCGGATTTCAGGAGGAAAGTGTCTCACAAGTTCACTCAGAGGTTCTGCAGGTAGTGCCTCCCACTCCGGCTTTTACTGCCCTTCCGCCAGGAACTAGCGGGGGTACCCGGACTGGACTTCCCACTTCGGAACGAAGCCTCTACATACGCCGTGGACGTCACCCTCGACTATCACACCAAACGCAGGGAGTGCAGACCCGACTGAGAACTTACTGAAAACACGATCCAGTAACACACACACACAACCTGAATTACAAACCAAGGTTTACACGAAGTAATGAAACTTCACATTGGCATTAAGGGGAAACTTCCCATAGGAGTACAATCAGGATATGTCACTCGAAGGAGTAAGGGGGAACTGTTCAAGTATCTAACTCGCAGCCGGCTCTGAGCATCAGAAATCACCCGCAGGTGCAGATCCGCACTACTCAAGTCTCTAACCGGGTGCTAGCTCTGAACATTCAGCCGAAGGCCTTCAACTACAACATACGGTAACTTCGCTATGCTGCAGCTTCTCTACGTGGTGCCAGGACCAAAATGCACAAACACGCCAAGAAAGTGAGTTCCTGATCTGCACTTCCGAAACTGGAAGAGTCCCAAGGCAAAACGCCTTGATCTATTTTATACTCTCAAAAGATCTAACTAGCACTACACTATCCTATCTACCACTCGCAGCATCTGCGCGAAACCAAACTACTCTACTGCACTCAGCAGATCCGGTGCTGCGCCTCCTGCGCGCCGGACTGCTCCGCTTACTATCTCTACCTTGCCAGTCTTCCGACCGGCTGCGTAACCCCAGGCGTCGGAGCGCTGTGGTGACTTCCGACTGTAAGTGCGCCATAGTGTCGCGCGCACCCGACAAGAAGGTTTCTAATTTTCTTGCCACTCGCCGCCGACTCCGACTGTCACCTTCCGTCAATGCCGCCGCCCGAAGCTCGAACTCCCGGAGTGTAATCCTCTCTTGAGCGGCCACCTCCCAATGGGCGTATCCTTTTAGACAACGAGTCACCCGTGCCGCCAACTCTCCTCGCGCCCTGCAGCTGCTCTCCACCTCGGCCAGCTGCATTTCTAATCCCGCACGTTGTGCCCTCAATTCCGAGCACTCAGATTGCAAGTTGCACAACAACTCCTCATCCTCCTTGCGGGCTCTTTGACTTTCTTCTAAGGCGCGCGTCTGGCGCGCAAGCTCGGCTGCTAGGACTTTGTTCTGTCTCCGCTCCTCCTGCAATTCCGACTCGATCTTTGCCCGTATTAGTTCGGCATCCGCCTGACTCTTCGTCGCCGCATCCTCCTTCTGCTGCTGCAAGGCTTGGTATAGCTTCTGGGTGACCGCCAGGTGTTGTCGGAGGGCGGTGTTCCTATCCACATATACTTGGCACCTAGAGGCCCACCTTGCCACCTTGCTCCTCGTCCTTCGCCTGATTGTCTCCACATAAGACTGCGGTTTTAAGGCACTTGCGTATTTGGATGTCTTGCGATCCAGATATCGCAGGAGTGGAACTATCTGTTCGCACAGCACCCCTGTTGGCGTTTTCTGCACCGAATCCGCTTCCTGCTCTTCCGAGCTCGTATCATCCTCAGTCTCGAGGATTTCAGTCGCCACCGAATCCCTTGGCGACTCCCTGGAACTGTGGCGCGCAGCAGCTTCCGCTGCGACTGCTGCTCCACTGCCTGCTAAAATATCCAGGGCAGTGGGAGATCCCACTGCTTGAGCCCCTGTTCCGGCTCGATCTTCGGTTTGTGAAGGGGTCGACGCCGCAGTGACTTTTGTCACTCTTGCACCGCCCGCTTCTGCTGCCTGTCCTTCCGGCGCAATCTGCGCGGAAGGTGTCCTTGCTGAAGGTGCGTCCGCCGAAGGCGTCCGCACACTGGTCGTTGGCCCCATCCGTCTCGCAGTCGGCGAATCCGGCTGACTCTCTGTTGTCCGACTCGCAGTCGGCCGACCAGCAGTTGTCCGACTGGGAGTCGGATACACCCTGCGCGTCTTGACTCCACTTGGCCTGCTTGCTGGTGGCGTTCTTCCGGAAGTGCCTTCCGCCGAAGACGACCCTCTGAGGATTGTTGGCTCGTCAGCCAAACTCTCTTCCGCTTCCGGCCTGCTATCCGGTTCAACGCGCCGTTCAGTTGGCCTTCCTTCCGTTTGTCGACCTTCAGTCATCCGACTCGCAGTCGGCCGACTGTCAGTCCGTCCATCTCCTCCCGAAGGCCGTGGTGCCTTCTGAGCAGAGGTATCTGCCGTCTTCCCTAGGATCTGCGCTATTATCTCTTCTTGTGTGGGATTCCGCCGGGTCGGAGTTCGCCTGGTCTCCTCAGTAACAGTTGGCATTTTGCGTGCCCTCTGTTTTGGTCGACTGTGAGGCTCGGGGGTGGGCCGACCACGAGTCGGCGCAGTTGGCACTTCCGGCTGCCTGTCCTCAGGTCTCTCATCCCACTTCCGCTTTCGCGGAATGCGCTCACTTCGACGTTCTTCTGCTGCTCTTGCTGGAGCCGGAGCCGGAGGCGTACTGGCAGGTTCCTCGTCCGGATCCGTGTCTACTTCGGCCTCCCTCGAATATCTACCTGGATAAGTCCGGGTCAGATGCGGAAACCGTGTTTTCTCAGCATTTGTCAAACATCCCATCGCCCGGTAAAACACGATTAAGTAAGGCGATAGATGATTGAGGGTTCCTCCCTTCTCTTCTTGCGCATGTTGGCGCGTCACCTTCCACAGGAGCCGTGCCCAATGCACCGGAGCTCCTGACAACACTAGCTCCACGAACTCTACCTGCCAACCATGCATGTAAGCGGTCTTGGTCGGCTGCAATATCTGCAGCAATGCCGTCGCGACATTTCTCCGCAATCGATCCTTGTAATCCCGTGTCCGGAAACCGTTCTTGGGATGTCTGGGAACTTTGAAGAGCTCATTGTAAGAGACTTCTTCCTCCTGGGACACCTTCACGCTGTCGGCCTCGAAGAGGAGATCCCCTTCCTCGCCGGCACACCTGCCCAACACCTGCGCCCAATTGCAAATGTCCCATCTCTCTGGGTGCGGGCGAAATCCGCGAGAAGGCTTGTGTCTCTCCTGCAGATACTCGCGCACCATCTCCGGACATGTCCAATTCCACCCCCATAGGAGGAAATCGAGCTTCAGCCTCAACAGCACATCTTGAAATGCGCGTAGACCGATCTGCGGCACCCTGAGTGGAGACACTCGCAGCTGGGGAGCCTTCGACATTGCGTTGCCTGCACACACACAAACATTCTCCCTTTCGCTCGCTCTCTCACAATCGCCACTGCGCGTCGGCCACTCAAGCACTAACTGCTCACCCTCTCTGCGCTCGTCCAAGATCGCTACTCACAATTCTTTCAAGGTCCGCCAAGATCCTTGCGCAACTCGTCTCCGCACTCTCTACTCTCACTGCAGGTCGCTCCGCCCTTGCGCGTAATCTTGGAAACTGGAAATCGCAAAGTCAAGAATGAGAGAATGAGACTGGAGCGCAGTCTTTTCTTCTCCGATTCCAAGAACGTCCAACGTTCTTACTGGTTGCAGCGTACGCAGCCGGCTATACGGCTTAACGGTTCGCCCCTTGCATGCGCGAATTCACGTCTCCGCACTGCGCGCATTCGCATGCTTAAACGTTGAATTCTCCCGCCGCCGCCTCCTTCTGGACTCGAGTCCGCTGCAGGGTATACGTCGGCCCTGGCGTGTCGCCGCTGGTGCGTTCATTATCCGTCGGCACCTTGCTGGAGACGCACATCCAGCCGGAGCGAATTACGCCGGCGCGCAGTCGTACCGCCTATTTTGTCCTTTATGCCTCGTCCATTGCTGCCGGCGCATATCTGTCGGCGCAACTCATGCCAGCGCATCCGGCCGTCAGCGCCACGTCGGAGGCGTACATCCGACCGGCGCTTTCCTTCCATGAACAGCCGCCAAAGGCGCTTCCGACTCTGAGTTGGTTTCCTCCTATGAGCGCGTGATTCCGCCGAAGGCGCATCGCCGAGGGCGTACGGGAATCCTTTCCGGCTGTGAACCCTAGCGCGAATGGCGCATGTCCGGCTACGAGTTTTCCGACGCTCATAACTTGTCCATTCCTGATCCATCTCCGACGCTCTTGGGCTCGTTAGAACGAGCGTCCCGAGCTCTTTCTAATGCAACTTCAACCAACTGGATCTACCGTGTATCCCGATTGTTATGAAGGCTTCCCCTTTCCGCGCTAGCGGCGCTTCGCCGAAGGCGCACTCATGGTCGGACGCCTTAGAGGTCCGGGCCCTTCTCCTGACGTCTTTAGCAAAACCTCCTCCTGAGGTGTCTGCGCCGGAAGCGTAGCTTCCTTATACGCTGGAGGCGCGTGAGTAGAGACACCTCAAAAAGGAGCTTTTGCCGAAGGCGTCGAAGACGTTGGCGTTGGTACATCCGACTAC